CCCAAAGCCAAGCAGCTCTTGGATCCGTCCTAGGAGGGCAGTGAACTCCCCCATCACTCCAAGACATGCCACCAGCTGCAGGGAGGCATTAACCCTCTAGAAACCCTGATATGCCTATGGATGCCCAAAGGAAGTTGTCAGTTGTGGATGGAGGAGAAGGTCACGAAAGTCTGGCCAGATGTTGAGACTCCCAGTCCCACACGTAGGCAGAAATCCTTGCTGATATCCAGCCCTTTCTCCCATCACTTGGCAGCCACATCAGGAATAGCATCCTTCATGGAGGTCCCACAAGGAGATGGCGAGGTGGGGTGCAAGCTGGGTAACGGGTGGAAAGTGGCAGCTCATGATTGCTTTGGATGAAATTTAATTAATTTACTTTGCGAGAGACAGAAAGAAAATAAGGAAGAGTCTATGACAGTTTCTGTGGCCAGGAGCTTCAGCAACCCCACTACTTCCCACCCTGCTTTTTCTATACCAGCTGCAATTCTCTTGCCTTGCTGCTCTGACACATCCTGGGGGAATTTCAGTTCCCTCCTGAACTTTGAGGCCACATTCAGGAGAAGCTCAGCTGTCCCAGGGGCCTAATGCTATGTATGAATTTCTGGAACTTCCTAACTCATGAATAGTTGGGTTGGCACCGTGGTAGATTTTTTTTTTACCATGAGTTTGTCCAATCATTTTTGAATGCTTTTAGCATCCACAGCCTCCTGCTGAGGAACATGCTCTGAGATGAACTACCCCCTTTTCTTCATTGTCATCCTACCACCCACTACCCTTCATCCTCCTTGGTGCTCTTTGTAGTGGAAAAGGTAGTGAATAATTGTTCTCTATTAACACGTGCAAGGTCTAACTCTCCATGAGCTATTTGTATCCAGAGCCATTCCTCATACAAAGTTCACACCAAGCAACAGCAAGGCAGTTTCTCAGTCTAAGTGATCCTGCTGGTCCTTGAATTTCCATTCATGATGTCAGAGCACTGGGGCATCACTTTGGCTCTTTGGCTCACCCACCTTCTCTCACGTCTGCAGCATTTTTGTGCCCTGGACTATTCAGGACATGCTGTAAAAGCAGGGACCTTTTAAAACAAAGATGCTCCTGCCAACTGCGGCAGAAAGCAAGCCTGCTCACAGATTCTGGCTGCATACTGGGAGCCAGGGCCAGAATTTAGATTGGACTGGATCCACTTTCACTTGTGCATTTGTCTTTTTTCCTTGTTTTGCTTTATTTTTTTGTGTGCTGAACACTGGGACCAGCAACTCTCCAAACAATCCAGTGATATCACCTTCGGCTGAGTCATGGAGAGGGCAGGGTGGAGAAGTGCAGACAGGGAAAGATCACGAGATTGTGCTAGCTTAAACAGCCTAAAAAAAATAAAATAATAACAAAAAAAAAGCTAAGTGTTTGGGTGCATGGAAGGGAGATTGCACGCACTTGCACCCACTCGCGTGTTACAGCTTTGGGGACTTTAGCCCCTGGGTTCAGAGGTTTGTAGTTGGATGTTTTTTTTCTCAGATATGAGCAGGGTGACAGGAAAAAAAAGGGTAGGTATATACATGGCATACAGGCACACATCCACTGTAAGAAAACCAAATAAATTGATTTTTTGCCTTCAGAGTGCATACTTTATTGGCTCAACTTTTGCACCGCCAAAAAAAAAATAAAAAAATAAAAAAAATTGATCTTCTGATCACATTTAGACTGTGACTCTGGTCACTTTACATGGTGGGGACAAGCTTTCCCTGAGAATTCACCTGCAGCTTTCTTAATTTCTTAATCCTGCTGAAGATAATTATCAAGGGTTCCAGCAGGACCTGCAGTCCTTGTTCAGATCTCCAACATGAGTATGAAGGCTCAGGAAGATTTGAAATGACCTTTTAGAAAATTCCCTATGGACTAAAACTCAAAAGGAATTTTAAACCCCCCAGCAGTAATGTTATAAAAAATGTATGTATTAGGAGAATGAAAAGTTCTCAGCAGGATGTCCAGAGCCTTTCTTGACCAGGCAGTGGCAAATAAGAAAGATGAGCCTCTGCCTGGGAGCATCCTAGACCAAGATACAACTGGGATTTAAAAAAACATGACGTGGCACAAGTTCTACAATATTTGGGCTCCATGTTCTGCCTTTGATAATGCCCTGTTCCGTCTTTGACATTTTTTGGGCCACATCATCAAAATGTGCTCATACACTGACTGATCAGGCTAAAGTGTGATGTATCACTCCCCATTTCTATACCTGAAGTTTTATTCCCATTTTCTGTTTCTGAACCTTGGAAGTATCTGTTTCCTGAGCTCTTCAGGTGCCCATTACGCTGTGCTTTCTTCCAAGCATCCCAACATCATCCATGCTCCTACAGAATCACCACTACATAGCCCAGTTCATAAACCCTCTATCAAAATGTCATTGTGTGCTTGTGTGTATGAAAGCGAGGGCTAATTCCTTTCATACTTTATTCATTCACTACATAAGAGCCACAAACTCTCCCCTAAGATCTGCTTCCCATTGCCTACCAAGGCAGTCAGATGCTCCAGCATGCACAAAGTCACCAGCCAGAGACCTATTCTGGGGACTCCCTGCCCACTTTTTTCATCCCAGTGTGATTGAATGAGGAAGCTATGGATGCACTCCGTACACGTCTCTTCCAAGGGGCACGCTTATTTGCATGGTAATGAGGATGGCAATGAGCCCTTTGTCTTCAGATGCACACGAGGTTCTAGAGGGTGAAAAGTAGCCAAAGTTGAAATTCAAGGAAGTCGTGGCTGTGCTTTTTTCCCAGTTTGTCTTTTTTATCTGGATGCTAAAACAAAGAATGTTGTACGGAAACTGCATTGTGCAATGAAGCACTAAACACTAGATATAAATTATTATTTTAACAGCCAACAGGCTAAGCAAGCACCAATCTCTTAAGTAGCCTGGCTCAAGCAGTAATCACTAGCTTCATTTCTAAAGAGTTTCTTCTTTTATTTGCTTTGTTACCATAGCTTTTTTTTTTTTCCTCTCTCTCAAGTTAAAATAAAAGCTACATAAAGACACAGCTCCTCTAGGAACTGAGAGCACTGCAAACAGGGTCCCCAACAGCACCGTACAAGAGATGATGGTAATGAATCCCATTCTACAGTGGGTAAACTGAGGCACAGAACCACTCCCCTAACAAAGGTATGAGTGGGAATCCATTCTTGATGGGCTCCTTCACCTATCTTGGCCCCATATGCTCACACTGAGGCCAACACAAGGTCTCCCAGCAGAGCTGAGAGCCAGGGAGCCCCTTGCAGGTAGCACATGGCTTCAGAGTCTGGTTTGCACCAGGATGGAGCATGGAGGAGCCCAGGCAGGAAAACACACACAGGTGTTATTGCTGAGAGCTGAGATTGAGGAGAAGAATTGGTGCTGGTCTTATAAACCCACCAGTAGCCCTAGGAACCCACCACTGGTTCAAGGAACCCACTGATGATCCACATTGCATCAGGATGGTGTGTGGAGGTCCTGGGGGTGGGCTGCAGGCTGCACAAGGAAAAGAAAAGGCTTAAAACCTTGGCTGGATGGAGAACGGAGACATTAAGGAAATGGAGATTGCCCCCAGCACCCCTAGGGTCTTTAGCTCCTGGCTAACCAAACACTCAGGGCAGTGTTTCTGCTGTGGTTAGAATTCAACGTGGTGATTCAAGCAGCCGAGCGCCAACCTATAAATCTCAGCCCTGTCCCAGAAGGAATAAATCCCTTTAAGCAAACACAGCCACAGCAGGGGCACTACAACCCCGGCACTACTTCTCTGTTCAAAACCATGGGCTCCAACACCAGGGGCTGCTCATTACTCCGCAAACGCCATCCATCTCCGTGCTGGCCCCAGGTCTTTTCATCACAGAGACATCAGCCCTGCTGGCTGTCCTTATTCACTGCCTCCTGCAGCACATATTGACACCAGCATGTGCTCCAGCCCTTTGACTTGAGTTGGCCTTCGGCAGATATTTAAGCCACACGTCTGCGTATGTGTTTTCCCTGCCTAAGCGTCAGAAAATGCTGAGATCTGTCTGTGATGGGGTAGCCCACGTACCTGGCACACTGAGTCTGGCTGCAGACTCCAGGCTGATTAGGAATGGGTGGAGGAAAGCTTTGCTGAAATAAGAGCTTTGGGTTTCTGGATGATGGATTTTCTCCAAAAAAAAAAAAAAAAAAAAAAAAAAAAAAGTAATAAAATAAAATAAAATTTAAAAAAAAAAAAAAAAAAAACACTGGGGAGCTTTAATGCAGTCTGTGGAAGTTCAGAGTCTCGGTCCTGAATTTCTGGTTCCTGGCACCTGTTTTACTGTTTTGACACCAGGCTTTTGAGCATGGGGAAAATAATAATGATATCCAGAGCTAATGTTATTTACTAAAATACAAATTAACGCTCAGTCACATGGTGGCATGATTTGTCATCCAGAGCTAAAATTAAGAGAAATTAAGGCTGAGTCAGAAAGTTATTTCAGATCTGAGTAAGGAATACTAAGTGATGGGGCCATGTGGGAGCAACACTGACATCTTCTGGCTGCAAAACAACTCCCCAGCTTTTACATCAAGACAGCCAGTGGGATCCTCCAGCACAGAAGTAGAAATCAGGGTTTGGGTGGACAAAAGAGCTTTTCCAAGTAGCAGGAATTAGTATAATTAACATTCATAACATAGTTTACTTCCATAATGTAATTAACAGCCCGTCTCCAAGCTCTATGGGCTTGACCTGATGGCTCACAGCTGTGCTGGGTCCATTGCTCTGACCCCTTTTGCAATGGGGGCTAGAAGGCTCCTGCCATGGATATGGTGTTATCTATTTTTTTGCTCCATGCCCTCCAGTCCTGCAGATCTTCACTCTGGTCACAATGGCATTGCAAGCCAAGGACCTAATAAAATCATGCCTTCAGCCTTCTCTGCAAAGCTTGCCTTCCAGACAGGGCTTTCTACCACCTGTGCTACCCTTTGCTGCCACATCTTCTCCCTTCTAACCTTATTTCTTTTAATCTCTTCCAAGGTTCTTTCTTCCCATCTCTGAAGCCCTCAGAAATGGTCTTCAAGGTCATCTTCTGGCTGGGATACTTCAACAGCTGCGTGAACCCCATCATCTACCCCTGCTCCAGCAAGGAGTTCAAGCGAGCCTTCATCAGGCTGCTCAAGTGCCAATGCCACCGGCGACGACGTCCCATCTGGCGCGTCTACGACCACCACTGGCGAGGGGCCTCCATGAACAGCTCCGTGCGAGGCTCCGAGACGGACCTGAGGCCCAGGATCAGCACCCTGCACAGCTCGTTCCTATTTAACTCCTCCTTGCAGGAGAGGGCCGGTAAGAGGCGAACGCTCAGCTTCAAGGGCTGGAAAATGCTCACTCCGTTCCAGAAGCCAGCGTCCACCCAGCTGAAGGAAAAGATGAACAGCCTTTCTAACAAAATCCGGGGCGGCTCCAGCAAAGGGGGGGTGACAGCCTCCTACAAAACCGAGGTGGAGTCTGTCTCTATTGGGATCCCTCATGACTTTACGGAAACCATTGACTATCAAACCTATGACTTAACAGACTGCTGTGGGCTGAGAGAGACAGATATCTGAAGGCGCCGGGACAGCTCTCGATGGTTTCTTTAGCTGTATCTAGCAGAAACGTGAAGGGATGCCACCTGTGGGTCTGTCAGGCAGACTGGAAGCAGCAATCAGGTATAAAATGCAGTTGCCCAAAGGTTGTACAAGCTTCCCCCACGGGGAGGTCAGCCCCTTCTACGGGGTTATGGGTTCCTCAAATACGAGCCAATGGCACATCCCATTTTAACGAGCTGTGGCAAGAGGGGAAGGTGTGGGGTGGATCTGGCCTTAGGAAAAGAGCTGTTTCCTCCCATGGGATGGTTCTCTTTGACTTTGGAAGAAGCTGTGCAATTAAGGGAAACCAGAACATCTCCTTTGCCTTAAAAACACCACCACAAAAGCTACTGGAAGGATTGAACCCCAACAGGTGCCAACTCTGCCTTAGCACACGTGATAACATTTCCATCCAGAGGCAGCATCCCGAACGGATGCTGTGAGCAGTAGCTGGCAGCTGACCCTTTAGACAGTGGGCTGGGGGCTTGTAGGGCTACAGGGCTGGACAGAACCTGTAGCCCAAGCCTTTTCTTTCGAGGGTGAGCAGACTGCGGTATTCCCGAGCAGAGCTGGGGGATCCCGGCTCTCAGCCATCGTGTTTGCGGTGCCCACAGCTTTGCCACTTCCTCGCAGCCTGGTTTTAGCCCAGAGGAGCAGTCCAGATGCATACACTGATGCCAACAGGTGTGCAGGTCTCTCTTCTCTAACTCCAACCTGCGACGTGTTTCTCATTTCACTTTCCAGTGAGAAATTTGCAACCCATCTTGTTCTGGCCTGCATCCCTCTGTGACGTGGAGACTCCTTTTGATGTTGGTCATCCCCGGTCTTTTTCTCTCCCCTTCTTATCCTCACTTGCTCTTTCTCTCAAACAACATGGAATAAAGATGTATTCCTAGCTGTGGCTGAGCAAGGTGGGGTGGGTGAGGCTGGGCCTGTTCCCACTACTCACAGAGCCACAGCTTAAAGGGAGCTGAAGTGCAGTGGGAGCTCCCTCTTGTGGATCCATCTTTTCCCCAGCCGGGACCATACCAGAGCACAAGGAAACAGTCTCAGATTGAACCAGGGGACGTTTAGGTTGGAGATCAGGGGGAATTTCTTCATGGTGAGGGTGATCAAGCACTGGAATGGGCTGCCCAAAGAAGTGGTGGGGTCCCCATCTCTGGGGGCATTCAAGAGACGTGGATGTGGCACTCAGGGACCTGGTTTAGTGATGGGACTCAGTAGGTCAGGATGATGGTTGGCCTGGAGGGTCTTGAAGCTCTTTCCCAGCCTAAAGGATTCTGTGATTCTAGACTCAGAACTCTTTTCCCAAGTGGCTCCCCCCCTTCCTGACACATCAAAACCTTTGTTGGTTAGCAGCAATTACTCTTGGTTAGCGTGGCCAAAAGCAGTATTGATAGAGTTTGTTTGTTTGCTTTCCCTGCTCACAGCCCCCGAGTGTGAGGTCGTGGTCTAAGGGTAAATAAAGAAGAGGAACATGAAGCCCAAGGGTGGAGACACGATGCTGAGTATGTCCTGGATGGCAACTCATCCACACCAGCACTGTCCCCCAGACCCATTAGGCGTATTCATGAATGTGCCTACTGCACGTCCAGCCAATCCTCTTAAGGGTGGCTGTCAAAGGAGATGAAAGTGTCCTAGCACAGCATGGAGAACGCGACTTTCTTTCTGCTGGTTTTTAGTTTTAAAGGAAATTAAAGTCAAGGAAAATGTAGATTTCTTTTATTTTTTACTTTCTTTCATGCTGAGACATTCAGAGTGGGCCCTACCTCAGCACCCATAACACCCTCCTGCCTTTTACTCAGTGCAATGGACTCTGAACTGGATGCACAAAGACCTACAGATTTTGTCCAAATATTTTCCTCCTAGCAGTTAACCCCAACAAGACATATGGGCTGCACTGCACTGGGCACTGGGGAAAAGGCAGCTCAATTTAGCAATTGCTGGCAAGCCGCTCATTCCCAAGAATGAGCTGAAATTACCTCTTACACTTCTCCCTGATCTTTTAAATCTCCTCCTTTCTTTTTTTCCAATTCTGAAATATTTACATTTACAACCTCCAGTCCCTTGAAAGCACGAAGAAGGGAAAGAAAGACTAGTCTGGGGTTTTTCTGCTTCTCCATCCCAATCCTTTACAGGAGAGAAAATGAGGATAAAGTCTGTTTAAGCACACACATGCATATTATATATCTATTTCTCACCCAAGCCAGGTCCCTTCTTTCATTTAGCACCTTGCATCTGAAGAGTCCGTGCCAGGACTGGAATCTGTACATGCAGAGATTCATTTAGGGAAGATTGGGGCTGCATTTGCTGACAGGGGAAGGACAGTGTTGTACGAAATACACCCTGAGTATCTAAGCTTGTGCTTTTCCCTTTGAGTCCCTTAATTTCTGAGCTCTCCCAGCTTTGGAAAAATGGGCTCAGACCTTCAGGAAGCGAATTCGGTCTGACCCCGTTGACTTCTCTGGACCGCCAAGTGTGTGACCCGCGGAGGGTATGGCCCCGTTTCTCCAAAATTCACCAAGCAGGCCATTTCCCAAAGCCCCCGTCCCTTGGTCACCCAGCAGCTCTCACCTCATCGCGCCGGCTTTGTGTCCCTATCGCATCGCCAGACCTTGCTGCTTCGACGAGCCGAGTGTTGAGGATGGTGAAGAGCAGCTTCAACGCCAGGAGACTCTCACGAGTCCCATCCGAGGAGGAAAGAAGGTCCCCGTCAGCCTGAGCTGGACTGCAGTTGGGTTGCATTACTATTGTTTACAGTGTGTATATAAGTGTACATTTCCTTTAGCAGACATTGGAATTTTTTATGTATAGATTTTTATTTTTCATCCACAGACGTATTTATTAGCTGGAGTATTTCTGTTTTGTGATTCAAGTAATGTCAGATTGATGTAAGCTCTATGAAACAGAATGCACATATTTTTGTTTATTTGTACCAAATACATGCACAAACCCGTCTAAAACGTTGCCGTGAACTGTGTCTGATTTTTTGAATAGAGGTTGTAGGGGATAAGGGAGGGAGGAAGCAAAACCTGCATATTATCAGCCTTTGTGTTTTTCTCAAGGATTTTTTTTTTTTTTTTTTTTTTTTTTTTGTAATTCCGCAAGGGTTATTCCCACGTGTAAGAATATATGACCAAAAAAAAAAAAAAAGAAAAAAAAATCAGAAAATTATGTTCTCTGCCTTGTGCCACACAGAGGTGAAGGGGTTGCACCAGCTGTGTCTTCTCCCAAATACAACCTGCTGCAGGAGGGATATGGATGCAGCCATAAGCCATGGGAGTAGAGGAGGGGAGGTTATCACATGAGTTATGGTCAGGAGCAAGGTCTGGTGAAAGAATTTCCATCAGAGTAGGATTTTTAAATGAAATCTGAAATTTTAACTTGTCAAAGATTTCTTTGGAAAAAAAAATATATATACATATATATATATATACATCATTTTTATTCTAAAGTCAAAATTCCATCATCACAAAAACACTACCTGTGGTGAAATGGAAATAATATTCCTTATGCTCACTCCAGGTACTCAGTTTCCCAAAATGCAGCCTGACAGCAGGTCTAGATACCGGGCAGAGGTGCCTCAGGGCTGAGGATCATGGCAAGAACTCAGAGCTGGAAAAGCCCAAAGGGGACAACAGGAAAAAAAGGCAAGACACCCATCCCACAGGGCCCTAGGGAAACATCATATAGCAGAGGTTGAAATGCAATGAGGGGAGAAGCAGAGCTCTGAAAACATTTTACAATATCCCAGAAATATTTCTTTACAGTGCAAATGACTGAGCATGGCCCAAGGCTGTCTGTTCTTTGGGGACAGCTCTGGGCAGGGGCGAAGTGAGCTGTCACTGACTGCAGCTCCACAGCTCCAGGAGAAGATTGTCCTGACCTCCCCACGTGTTTTTTGTGTGTGTGTGGTTGAGTCAGACTGATGCTGATGAAGTGGGAGGGATGCTGTGTCCTCTTGTGAGCCCACAGCAAAGGATGCTCTTGACTGATGTCACTTAAATTGTTCTAAAGGGACTAACAAGTCATGCTGCTGCCCTGCTTGGATGCCAGGAGGGAAATTAAGTGATTCTCTGTTGGTTTTCTCTAGGGCATGATAAGCAAGGCCCATGCCATGGTCACAGGGACTGAATGAGCCTTTGGAACAACAGTGCTAGCGTGGGCACGTGGCTGTGGGCATCCTTCCTCACCCCCAGTTTAACCCATTGTATGGCCTGCATAGAGAAGAGAGGGTCAGGGGCCAGGCGATGCTGGTCCAGCTTCCCTCACAGTCTGACTCAGCAGTCTCATCTCTTTGGGTCAAAATTTGATAACAGTAACAGGGAAAACTGGATGTTAAGGTTTTCTGGGAAAGAGATGACAAATAACCTGGAAAACATCTTTGCACCTCTGAATAAATCTATCATATACCTCTAATTTGACTACCACCTATTGTTCTGATTAGCCCAGCTGAAAAAGAATAAAATGGATTTAGAAAGGGTTCAGAAAAGGCTGACAAAGATGACCAAAGATATGGGGTAGTTTCTGTCTGAAGAACAATTAAATCAAAGCGCATTTTCCTGGAAAATAGAGATGACTGAGGAGTAACACGATAGAGGTCGATAAAATCAGGAGTGTCAGAGAGAAGACAAATAGTGGATGATTGTTCACTGTTTCTCATAATACAAGAACTAAATGGCATCAAATCCAATTATAAAAATGAACAAAGCGAGGTAATTCTTCACATGGCACATACTTAAATCATAGAATTCATCACCACGAGATATTGCATCTGCCAAAAGTTTATAGGGGTTAGAACAGCAATTAGGTGCCTCCATGACAGAAAAGTCCATCAAGGGCTGTTGGAAACATTTATACAATCTCTGAGCTGAAAAGTCCCTGAGGCAGTGATTGCTGTCAGCTGGGAGAATATTTCAAGGTAGGCTTGAAAGGTAGGCTATCACTGTAGGCTTTTCCTTCCCCTCTGTCCCTCCTGAAGTTCCTACCATCAGAGAGCAGCTACTCAGGTAGAAGGACCCAGACTCTGAACTGGTACAGGAATTTGTAAATATTCTTTATTTGGATATTGGGTAGCCCATCCCATGGTTAAATTGTTCATTTCTCCACCAATAGGCTAAGCTGGGAATATATACCAAAAACTCAAGGTTGGTCTTCAATGTACATTAGGTCAATAAGGCCATACTATTTTGCCATCCCTGTGTTCAGTTTCCCACTGGGAAATTTCCATTACTGAATACCACTCAGAAATGAAAAAGCAGCCCCTGAACAGACAGACTTTGAAGGTCTTCCCACAGAAGGCAGGCTTGTAGTTTAGGCCAGGAGTTGTCCAGATATCTCCAAAGTAACTTCACCCATTTTGTGCAATTGTTTCCATTTCTTTTTCATTTTTGGACATCTAAATATCCCTCCATGGAGGTGCAGACCACATGTAGTGACACTAAAACCATGGACAAGGACATATTCTGTTCTTAGCTAGCTAACTTCAGCGAGAATCAGCTCATGGATTAACACATCTCCATTAAAAAAAGGCATCTATGTATGCGCCAGATGATTAAATCCCATTATGGAGAACTAGGGCAAAAAAAGATGCTGTCTGAAGATAAGTGTTTCGTACCATTTGAACCATCCAAGGCTTTCCAAGACATCTGCACATGGCTAGGATATAGGACACAAAACCTGCTGTACAAAATTGATGGAGGGACATAGTAAAAGTCAATGATCTCTAGTCCGGGTAAATGTTGGGCAAAGAGCAGGCAGAAAGTGAGGTTTTGATCCCTTTTCCCTGGGGAAAGAGGACAAAGATATTTATTGTGGTTCAGTGTATTATCAAAACTTGGACAATCTTCTGACTTTTGCAGGATGAACCAACCACACAGCCCAGTCCCTCGGGCATCCTGGGAGGCAGAATTATGAGGGGGTAGGAAGAAGTCAGAGATAGTAACCTATCTAAAAGTCCCATGAGGCAAGAAAAAGAGGGCTTAGAGCAAAATGTTCAGTTCCATTCAGTTCAATAAACCAAATTTAACTAAATTTAAAGATTTCCTTTGTGCAATCCCAGTGGATAATAAATGCCTTGGGGTTTGGAGGGTGGGGTCTAGGCATCAAAAATAGTTTTTTGTGCTTTTCCTGGAAACATTATATCCCTTTTATTATGCCCAGCTCTACCATTTAATTTTCATAATCCAGTCACAAGCAGGACATTTCACACAGTCTGAAAATTGCTGGATTTGTATCCCTTACCTTCAAAAAATCTGAAACAAGGTGTGGACTCTGGCCTTGATAGGTTCAGATGACCATTGTTAACATCTTACTAAGACCTTACAGAAAGTATCTGGATATTAAAAAAAAAAAAAATCCAGCTTTTGTGATTCAATATTTACACTTCCTCCACAGCTGCTATCTTCTGGATTGCATCAAAAATAAATAAATAAAAATAAATAAATTAATTAAAAGGCATTATAATCAATTCTGGAATTTTACTGAAATCTAACCATAATTAAGTAGCAGCACCACTGCTCAGAGATACAGCATCACCTGTTCAAACCCCATTGCTGTCTCCTAGCAGATCTGTGGTTGCCACGCAGTAAAGCCTAATAGCACATGGACCAGAAATTTGAGTTGTTTTGTGGCAGAAGGGTGTTTTTGGAAAGGGAAGGTTCCTAGTCTTGTCCAGGGCCAGAAGGCTTCAGGTGGCATGGTAATACAAAGAATACCATTACAAGAGAATTTCTCCTTGTGAAATGGAACGCTTCCATCTCCAGAATTCTAAAGAAGTTGTTTCAAAAACCTAAAACTAATGAAAAAGTAATAATAATAAATAAAAATTAAAAATAAAAACTAAAAAAAAAAAAAACAAAGCCCCCCCAAAAAACAGCATTACACTGACTCGAGCATGCACAGGTAAACTACAGTTACATTGTTATCCAAAGAGCTCTTTGTCATTTATGAGTTGCCTTGGCACAGATCGGAATTTTAAACTATTTATTGGAAAAAGGGAATGTCCTTGGGTAACCCTGTGTTTTATCACAGCAAGGTAGTTTTATGAGTTTAAAAGGCTTGCTGCCTTGGCAGCGCTAATGTTAATCTGTGAGTAAATTGCCATTGTTTTATGCATCTTTATTACTACAGCTTTCAACAAATGATTCACAGCACAAATCCAATTTAACTTTGACTGCTGGTGCGCTTTCATTTCTAACCTGTTTTAGGCTTGCAAGTGTAAATGTTGTTTCTCAAAGCTTTAGGGTATGGGGGTTTTGACAACATATATGTGTTTAAACAGATATGTCTGCATAGATGTACATAGATACACATATGAACATGTATATATTTTATACTTCAAATACTTGTCCATGTTCTCATGCCAAAAGCACTCCTCTGTCTATGACTAGCTTCAAGCCCAGTCTGTTACGAGACAAAAGCTACTACCCAAATGATGGTACTTAAAGAGCAGCTGTTGAACCACCATTTTGGTGATGCAAAAATCAGTCAAGAGTTTTTCAATAATCCATGACTAAAATTAGTTGCCCAGAAAAGATGTGCAGTTTGCATCACTGGATTCTAGACAAATATTTGTCTTAGGTAATGTTTTAGGAGGATCCATCCTATCTAAACATTTTAGGTGGTGAGGTGATCTAAGCCTTCTGAGGTCCTTTTGAGGCATTGTTCTATGCTGGATGCTGTCCCATATGTTCTCTTCCCTATATAAGGAATTAGAAAAACATATTTTCTAGTTTTGTGAATTGGTTGTTCATTGCAGAATGCACTACAGGTATTAACCCTACCTCTAGTTTTTAAAATCTGGGGTTTATAGGTTGCATAGGGAAGTCACAGATGACATAGAACAGACTGTGTTTATGAAAACTAAATAAAATATAAAGTAGAAGAAATTTCAAGTCTCATAGTGGACAGCATGAGTTCCAGATCCAAATAATCCTGGAAAAATTAAGGAATGGTTTCAAATAAATACAATTCCTTCCACCTAATACAGTAAGTGTAAGGTTCAACACTTTGGTGGGAAGAATAAAATTCCTTCCTTCAACTTTCCTTGCCCTGAAACTGCACTTACCAAAAGCTGAAGACCCGAGGTCTTTCTTTGTAAAGGCTTTTGCTGAGAGTTGCCAAATTCAGTGGACTTTGAGGCCTAAAACATTAATCCATATCAGAAAAATAAATAAATAAATAAATAAATAATAAATAAATAAATAAATAAATAGAATAAAAATGGGGAAGTGTGTCTGGCCCAAACAGTCCCCAGAAATCCCCTGCAAGTGTGCCAAAACTGAGCAAACGACTGCACTAATAAGTTGCCTGTAAAAGGAATAAACATTCTCCTGGTGATTAATTTACTCGAATTACTGTTTTCCCTTTCCCTTCCAGTCTGCACTTTCTCCTGCTAGCCTCTAAACAATCATCCTTCCTCTAGCAGAACAGTATTCCTAAGAAACATATGTGCATTTAACTGAGCTCCTCTCTTTGCAGACCACATCTACAGCAGTGGTCTGGGATCTGGGAAAGCAGGACTCTTCCTTTCAAAAGGTAACAGACTAAAAAAGCTGCTGGCAGGAACCTGGGGTTGGGCAAATTCAACTGAAAAACCAAGTGAACTCAGGGAGTAATTAACAACTGGAGCAAATTCTCTCAAAGATATGAGAGGTTTTTGAAATGCAAGGCGCTGGAGAGAGGAAAAAAATAAAATCATTTTAGAATGCATGCTTTAGCTAGGGAAGAAGTAATGGGCTTGACATAAAAATTTGCTTTCCTGCCCTTCCTATACAGGAGGTCAGGCTAAATTGTCTTAATATGCTGTCTGGCTTTAAAAATAAATGTTTTGTGTTTTTTTTTTTTTGTTGTTGTTGTTGTTTTTGTTTGTTTTTGTTTTTTCTGCCTGACTTGTCTAGCCATGCTGAGTTTAAAATATTGCCAAAAGATTGCACCTGTTTTGGTGAAAGGAGAAAAGAGATTGTGCTGAGCCTCCTGCTGCTTCCCTTCCCTTCCCTTCCCTTCCCTTCCCTTCCCTTCCCTTCCCTTCCCTTCCCTTCCCTTCCCTTCCCTTCCCTTCCCTTCCCTTCCCTTCCCTTCCCTTCCCTTCCCTTCCCTTCCCTTCCCTTCCCTTCCCTTCCCAGGCTCAGGCATTTGTTTATTTCTTTATTTTTGGTGACCATTTTCTTTGCATTTCATTTTTCTATCCAGGGCCCCTGCAGCTATATTTAGCTGGTGGAAATTGGCCAGGCGGTTAGACAAGTTCTTTTTTATTATTATGATTATTTTCATTTAGGTATTTATTTTGGAGGGCTTTATTAGAAGAGAAAGGAAAGTGACCGACAACCTGAGAGGTGCATCTCTCGGTCCTCTCTTTACACCACTTTCTGAACTCTGACACAAGATGAATATTTGTTCCCTTTCTGCTCTGTGTGGTTGGGTGCACTTCACTTGTGGTTTATAGACCATCCAGTTCATCCTCACCATCTGTTTTCCAGCGGACTCCTCTGCTATTTACCCTATCTGAATATGAACTTTTCCCAAGCATTCATCATTAATCCTCTCCCCTTGAACTTTTCTGGGTCTTTTTTTTCAGAGTCTGTGGCCAGAGTTAACATGCCTATTTCAGCCGTAGTTCCACCAGGGATGTCATTAAGTGCATAACATCATTATGCACATGGCACGATGATACTTTTCCTTTATTCTCAGTTCTCTTCCTAATAATTCCTAATGTTGTATTGGCCCTTTTGACCTTTGCTGGGCACAGAGCTGAGCTATTCACCAAGTTTCAGCATCTTTCCTGAATGCTAACGACTACTTTTGGGTGCATGACCACCTATGCATAGTTTTTTCCTCATCTACATTATTTTGCATTCATTAGTACCAAATTCATCACCCAGCAATCCAATGTCATGAAATCTCTCCCACAAGTGTTGAAAATTAACTTTGACTACCCTGAATAATGAAGGATTGTCAGCAAACTGTTACCAACCTATTTATATCTTTCCCCAGATCTTTTCAGAATACAGTGACTGGTATGGGTCCCAGCACTACCTTAAGGAAATTTCTAATAAAATTCCTCCACTGTGAAAGATGCCTATTTAATCATAATTTTTTCTTCTTCTCTGTTTATTCCACGATTTATTAAAGCAGAAGACCTTTTATCTTACCCTATGACAGCCTAGAAAAGTTAGGTAGACTGCTGAATATTATGCCCAGGACCTTAAACACTACAAAACCTTCATGAAAGAAGACAATATTGACTTATGGGAAAGAAAAGGGGAGGAGTGGTGGATGATATCACTTCAGAGGAATTTGCAAAGGCCAGTAGTGTATGGACACTGTGTGCAGTGTGCGTCTCATGCCAGCTTCACAAGATCAAACACTTTTTTCCATGGGAGCAATGGACAGCCTTAGAGCAAAGCCAATGTGACAGGCAACTGCGAAGTAAGAAGGTCATGTATTTATTTTAAACCAGAAAATGGTACTTATGCCAATGTATTCCTAAAAATACTGTTAGCAACACAGAAATAAAAGTCATGGGCAGTGAACAGATAAAACTCAGGCTTTGCATAAATAAGTTTATTCCCATTAATGGTTTAGGTAAATATAAAAACTAAAAAAAAAATTTTTTAAAAATCCATAACTTCCCTAGGTAATAAGTACCTAATGTATCTTAAAAATATTCCAGTCCCTAGGTCTCTTGAAAAGGTAATAACTAATGGAGGGATCAGGAACCAAAAGAACCGGGGAAGGATTTGGAAATATCTTCAAATGAATTAGGAATCTCTCAGCTGAGTGCAGAACAAAGGAGGAAAAGGCTTCGCGCACTGCAGCTCACTGTGAGGGAGGTTGAAAGAGGACCTGGGTGAACCTCCTGCTTTGAGAGCCTCAGATCAAACAGAGCAGTGAGAATACCATCACTAGCTGTTTGAAGAGGAAAAAAAATGTATAAAAAATAATACATAAAAAAAAAAAAAAGATTTAGCCTTCACATTTGCATAGACCATAAATAATTAATCAAGGAAAAGAAAAGAAAAGTTCACTAAGTATTCTCTTTCCCCACACGGGGAGGAAATCTGTCGGAGGTGTCTGGTATTGATCAAGATGCATCAGCAGAGCTGCAGGCGATGCCCCTGGGACCCAACATTTTGGGGATAGGGTGGATTTGCTGGGACACCCAGCTGCTGTGCACAGAGACCTTCATGAGTGGGGCCCGAGGAGGTCACAGCAGCGGTCAGGAGCTTGGAGCATGCACACAGGGAGAGGCTGTGGGAGCTGGGTACTTCCAGGCTGGAGAAAAGAGGGTCTGAACAAGACCCTGAGCAACCTGAGCTGGCCTTGAGGCTGTCCCATGGTTAAACAGGGTCTGAAATAGAGACCCACAACCTCGTTTACACCTCAAGCCCACAATTCTTTGGAAAATGGAGTGCAGGCATCTATCTCTTCCCTTTAGGAGAGCCTTTTTCTGAAGGCTGCCATCTGTGTTGAGCTGAACTCCTCTGAGGCTCCAGCGCAAAAAGCCATTTTTTGCACGAACGCCGAGTGCAGAGCTTTGCAGCAGTCATTTTGTTCCAGAGAGAAGCAACAGGAGGGCGTGCTTAGAGACTCCAAAAAGCTTTGGAAGAATCAGCTCCTGTCAAGCTACAGAGTGGCCATATCACACTCCTCCGGCGGCCTCAGAGTTGGCCGGGCACATTTCTGGAAGATACTGCACCGAGAAATGCTGGCTGCTGTCCAGAATATTCAAAACGTCCATAATAAAATGTAAATATGCTCTCCTTCCCTGCTGTTTTTGATTTGTGTCTATCAAGGGAAATCAGCGTCCCTGTTGTTTCAGTTCAGATGTACTCCTAAGGTCGGCACACCCCGAGCCCTGACGGCGACGCTAAATCATTAATGACCTAGGTTTTCATCACCCGACTTTGTGCTGACCGGTCATAGCTCTTCATTACATCTGTGCTGTCATCAGGAGGGCTGGTGACAACAAGGGCAGCGAGGTCACGCAATACATGTCCAAGGGAAGGGCCTTCCTGCCCTAACACCCTGATAGTTTGCTAGCTGAGTCTCACAAAATTGGGAATTTCAGGGCAAAAGAGGGGAACCATCAGCTCACAAAAGGAGCTGGCTGTTACCTATTTTGCCAGGGGACCCCACATGTTTGGGGTCAACAGCATCTCCCCCAGCATCCTTCCGAGCTCATCAGGGTCCAGGAGCCAGGACCTGCAGTCCTTCAGAGGCCACAAACAGAATTTGCCCAGATAATGGAGAAAGTTAAACCCAAAAATTCCAGCCTCATTTGGCTTTCTCTAAACCCAAAACAAAAGGCGTGTAAATATCATCAGCTGGAAAAAAGATGGTGTGCTAACATTGCTGATGACTGGATGTTGTTTGTCATTAAAAGCAGAAAACAAATGGAGTGCAATCAAAAGAACCTAGACTTAGAGAGATTGAGTCACTTTTATGCTAATACATCTTCATCAGGCCTCCCCGGTGGATCTGTAAAATGGTCTATTTATTGTAACTGAAGTTTATGATAAAAGTGCTATCATATTCTCCAGCTCTCATAAAGGTACGTACACAGCTATTTAGAAAAACTTATTTTTCTCTCCTTTTCAGTCCTCCATAAATTCTCCCTGCTTTTTTTTTTCTTTGCAAAGTGCTGCTTTCAAGCAAGGTGAACACAAATCATCTGCTCAGCTGTACGAGGGCAGGGGTCAGCTCACCTGGGTACCACCTTCATCTTCCTTGTCCCTGCTCAAGCCCAGCCCTGAGAAACAATATCATTAGTGATATTAACTCGTTAACAACGGGCTGCACTTCTGCAATGCTCTGAGCTGGCTCCAGACCCGTGGGTGCTCCTGGTTCACAAATATTGCTCCTTCCATCAGTTGTCTCATTTCTGTGGGCTCCAGGCATCACAGCCACCTTGGCTATTCCCTCCTCACCTGGGATTTGGGATGCCAGAGTTTAGTTTCCCATTATTTGCCTCTCCCTGGAGTCTGACAATCTGACACCAAGGTGCTCAGCATTCATTCCCCCTGTTCTTCTCCTTCTCTTTATCCTCCTCCTTAATGACGCTGAGCTAAGAAGAAGAAAATCGTTGCAATTACTAAAAGGCTGTTGCTCTGATCTCAAAGAGTTGTACTTCAATAAAGGCCCCAAAAGTGGCTTTTAACCACAAAATGCCCTGATCTAGGGTGGTAAAATCAATTCTAAAGGAAATAAATATAAATCTTTGAGTTACCCTGATCTGCTGGGAGGGTTGCCAACAAGCAGTCCCCTATTAAAGCCCGCTGATCCTGCAGCTGATCCCTCCTTACGCAGTGCACCTCACGGTCCTTCTGAACAAGGAGTGCTACAAATCACAGCAGCATCTCTCCTTTCTCTACCCCCTCTAAAAATCTTGATTGTGGTCAAAATACCATAAGATAAATAAATAAATAAAAATCTAAAACCTCCTCCCTCCCAAACCCCCTTCACCCTGCACACAGTTTAACCCTCACCTCCACCACAAGGACACCTGCTCCAGCCCACCGTATGCCCAACAAACCCACACTAATTACCCGGAAAGCATCATTACCTACAAGAATAACACTCAGAGCCCTCTTTTCACTGTATCCCATACAACCCATGTTGTCCTACAGGGCAGATGTGGCACCAAAGGCCCTGCTGGATACCTGATGTGGCACAGGCAACACAAAAACCCACCAGATTGAGCCAAACTCACCCTGTGGGTTGAGTTCCCTCCCAATTACATTAGAGAGCACACTTGATTACATCAAAAATTAACATTTTGGTCACACACGAGGCCAAACTCACGGGTGAGGAAAGGTAAATAATCATAAATGGACAAAACTGAGACGGGAGCAGACCCACCAGTAAGTGCCTGAGTAAAAAAAGAGCCTACAAAGTGTCTGTTTGCCCCTCTCCAAATGGCTCAAAATGTGCAGGGAAGCTGTCAAATTTGTCATATGGTTGCTGCTACCGGGGCTTTGACTTTCTGGAAAAGGGCCAGCGTTTATGACGAAGCGTCTAAAAAAACTCATTTGGTCAAAGCAAACCTGGAGAGCTGGGGAGGTGCCGCCACCAACGTGCACCCGGTGTTTTGGGGTGGCAGGCACAGAATTTGTATTTTCAACCTGCAGAAAAGCAAGTCCCAAAACATCCTTGGTCTTCTGCCTCACGTGGCATGAAACAGCCTGTAATATTTCACATGTTTTTGCAAAATTGCCCCTAATTTGTGCTGGAAATGATACAAATGTTGTTCAGTCTCTCCCTGTGACTCAAGTTTCTCTAGGTCCTGGATCCCAGTCACGACCGCCTGCATGACTTTGGCATTAATTTTTTGAAGACTACACATCGATTTTTATATGAAGGCGCTATCAGTATTAGTCAGCATCCCACTATTTATAAATCTTGGTGTTTTGTTTGCTTTCCTGACTGCAATTATAGAGTGAAAAGAGGTTTGTATTGAACCGTCTGTCCTGGTACAGAGGTGTCACTCTCAGGCGGGCACAGATTATCTGAGAATCCTGTCCAGAGCAGGATTTGCTCAATTTTTTCTCTTCTCTTCTGCATTATCTTGCATTTTATCAGTGCTTAATTTCCTCTGCTATGTTGTTGCTAATTCCCTTGGCTTGTTTCAGCATCTCTGAAGCTCTTCCTTGCTTTTGATTGCCTAAATTAGTTCTGTGCCATCAGCGGATTCATCTGCCTCTATTTCCGAGCCATGTAGCAGCCCATTAACCAGCACAGCACGGCTGGGACTAAGCACCAGACTGTGACCTCTGGCCATAACTGACCATGTAATCCCTTTGCTTTCTCCTAGGACAGCTGTAGGACCACAACAAGAGTTCCCCACTCATCCCGTGGCCCCCTAGCTCCTTCAGGAGGGTTTTTCTTCTCCATGAGCTGTTGGGTCCGTGCTCTCCCGTTGTAAGCTATCTCCTTGACATGTCATTATCCTGCTTATAAACATCATTTCAAACTAATTTCCCCAGGACAATTGTAAAGAAGGGGGACCTGTAATTCCCCTAGTCACATCTTAAGGCTTTTTGGATATAAATGAAGCCTTCCCTATATCCCAATCCTTCTGTCTTTTCCTTAGTGAGTCTTTCACCTCATATCTAAATTGCTTCCAAATGGCCAGATGCTCTGGACCCCCCAGGGAAGGCCTCTTAAGACAAGGCAAGGGACATTCAAGGTTCATGGCAGGGATTTTTCCAGCAATCTACAGGCAAGTCTATAGGGACAGGGGGCTGTCATGCCTGCCCCATCTACATTTTACCCCAAAATCAAAACTGCAAGGTCTACGAGGGAGGGAGACGCTAGTGGGAGGCAGCTCGTGTCTGAAAACCATGCTGAAATATTAGCATGGGACAGCACTTGAGCTGATATTGCCTCAGGGGAAGGTTAGAAAAGGACTGCAAGCACCATTTTGAGAGTTGTTTTCCTTCTCATCCCACTCACACACCAACACATAAACATTTTTAAGGCGTCCATGCTCTCCAGTTCCTCTTCTCAGTTGCCTCAGAGGGACCCCCAGCATGGGAGGAACCTCTCAGTTTATATACGTCTTTGATGTGCTTATATTCTTATTTTATATGTTCCACCTTCCATACCAAAACAGGATCAAGAGCTTTATTGTGAGCTTCTGTAATGAAACCATTCCTGTATCTGGGGCTCAGCTTTAAATACTCCCTATAAATAATTCATCTTCTACGTCCTTGTGTCAATAGGGTCTTTGCCCAGCAAATATGAAGGGCTAGGTGAAGCAGTAGGAACATTTTATATGAAGCTGTATGGAACATATGTAAAAAATCAGAATCTTCTGGACTGAGATGGAAATAGTGCCTTATTACAGGAGGCAGATAATCACTAAATTAGCTCCTACGTGTCTACATGATGCAGAGCAATTGGCAACCAGCTACCTCCAATAACCTGACGTCATCATGAGTCTTCTTTTCTCATTAATGGGCTTTGGATGAAGTCCCAGACTCTTCGCTTTGTGTCCCAGTGCAAAACATCAACATTTTCCTGCTCGTTTGTTTGTTTGTTTGTTTGTTTTTCTTAAAGCTATTAAAACCTCAGTGTTTTACCCATTTCCAGGCACTTTGTGGTACATTAGTGTCAGTGAATGCATCCCTACGAGTGTGTCCACAACACTCAAACAGTCCCTCTAGGCAACACCTGGGGAAAGCCGATGGAGTTAGGTGTAATTTGGTGAATCCACACTGATTTACACAAATCTGACAAACTGTGTAGTGGGCAGTGAGTTTATCTTTAATTCTTCTTTTCTTGGTTTTGCTTCCAAAGAGATTTTAAACAACAGCAACCTATGAACTGTGTTCATGCAAATCTTTCTCCAGCATGCCAAGGAGAAGCCAAAGCCAAGACTGATGTCTGAAACCATTTGTGAGGGCACAGAAAGCAATGTGTCACTGCTTGCTTTGACCCAAGCAAAGCGATGTCCAAGCCTCTCAGCCAGCCAGGCTCATCTGGACACTGCAGAAATTGAGGGTGTTCATATTTCATCCAGCTGACATGAGTTCTCCAGCCCAGGAGACAAAACATCCCATTTGCACGTACTTTTGAGGGCACTGCAGGAGCAAAGCTGTAGCTTGTGCCATAGCCATGAAACACGGTGCCACTGCGCTACCATTTAACCTTCCTTCTGCCTCCCACCTTCTCTACCCAGATTTAACAACCGGGGTTAACCTAAAATTACTGGCAGGGCTCTCCTAGACATTCAAAATCTGGCTGCTCATGACGTTGAAA